CCTCAGCGATCCGCTTCTCGCTAACGCTGATGATTTTCTCGAACTGGTCGATCCTCGACATCACTACGGCCACCGCCTCGTTGACACTAGTTACACTTTCGTACACTTGAACTCCTTCCGTCTGCTGGTGGAATCCTTCCACTCGTTCTATCGACGATTCCGAAGCACTTTTCCTGGCTTCGCACGTTTCAGTCACTAACACTGCCTCTAGCCCGGTCTGCCTCACCAGGTTAGGGTGTGACCGGACTAATGCCTTTGTTTAATTAGCATGCGTGCTATTATTAATTAATTAATTAATTATTGTATAAAATCACCTTGCGTGACTTACGTTTTGGTCGCCACTCAGTTTTTCCACCAACTGAGAAGGAAATCTCGGCTTCAGCGGACGGCGGTTCCCTATTGGATGCAGCGGCTGCGTCCTCGATGCTGATTGGCCCTTGCTTCGAGACGGCGGTGTCGTCGGATACTATGCCCGTTGGTACGCGGTGATGGCTTAATTAATCAGTGGAATGGTAATTCTCGTGACAAATAACACGACAGGCCCTTTGTTGTAACACACTATATATATTATTTATTCAAACACAACATTAATTAATTATTTAACAGGCCCTCATTCACTCTCTCTCTCTCACACGCGTTAATCTCGAATAAATCGACACTCTCGCTTATGTATTACACGTTGTCGCGTCGCATAATCTCGAATAAATCGACACTCTCGCACTCACTCTCGCTTATGTATTACACGTTGTCGCGTCGCACTTTCGACGTAATGGCGGTGCCCAATATGGCCGCTCTACGAGATGACGCGATGTTGCATCACCCGCTTAGCAACAACGGAATCGAGGTTAATTTCTCGATTATTTCGCGTTATCACGACGCGTGGCGTTTACGGGTAACGTGTCGAAGACGTTTAGTAATTAATTACGGCGTATTTTTGCCGTTTTCCCGTACTTTATGTGCACGTGCGGAATTCTTCCGTATTTCACGTTAATTCGCGGAATTTCGCGTATATTCGCGCTTCGCGATGCTTATTTAGCGTTAACGCGCTTTGCCGCGTCACGGTATTACGTGTTTTTTCACGGTATTAGCGGTTACGCAATCGTTGAGTATGACCGGCACGACGCACGTCCGTCGTGTTTGGTAGTTCGGCAGTGACTGACTAACATGGCCGGCTTCGCTGGCAAGATGGCCAGGAAGAAACGGTCTGTACCTTTTTCCATAGTTGGTTCGGTGTTCCCGAATTTAGTAATTTCTTAGTAACTCATTCATACCGGCCTTTCAAGGTTATAAATGGCTTAAATAATTAAAGAATAATATCCTGAACATAAAATCTTTATGGACTTTCGCTTTTTAACATTTATTTACGCGAATAATTAAATATTTCAGTCGGACCATTTCGGCAACCAATCAAATAATTGGAATAATTCTTTTATCGTAAAATATGTGTGAAATAATTCAAGATGACTCTAAATAATTAGTCTTTATTGAAATAACTCTCCGGTTTACCGAAATAATTCAAATAAATAGATAATTAACAAATCCTTGAGATACGAATGTGTATGTACCTTAAATAATTCTGGGGTGCTGTGAATAGTGCTTAAACGGCTCGATAATAATTCTAAATTGTTATAAATAATTCAACTGATTTTCGTAATGATTTAATATGCCTCTAATAATTCCAAAATATTAATTATAACATTCGTATGTCAAGCTTAAGGTCCTTTCTGGTGTCTTAACTGCACCTTTATGTAATCTTGCTTTAATTGGAACTTTGTGATGTAAATGTTTTAAACAATTAATTGTGACTCTAAATAATTCAATCTGACTCTAAATAATTACAGAACAATATGGAATAATTAATTAAATAGCTTTTTAGCCGGGTTTTGACTTTTAATAATTTTGATGATCTGTCCTTGTCTTACTAATGCAATAATTCTATTTTCTCTCTCTAACTACGGAGATGTGTTCCAATTAATTCAGGATACGTAAAATAATTACGAAATGAGTAAAATAATTCGGCTGACTCGCCTTTATGTTGAAATAATAAAATAACGTGTTTTACAAACCTTTATGGTAAGTATTCGCTCTTCGGCGGCTGTTAACAATGTTTTCTTTTTTTAGGGTCTCCAAAACGATCTCAGCGCATGTTTTATGGGTAAGTGTTTTCAGTATCTTTATCTATTTATAGTTTAACATGTTTCTTTGATCTAATTTCTATTTTATTTCTAGGTTATCACGCTGGATGGAATTGGTTCGCCTTACGGCTTCTGTGTTTTGCAGGATGTTCAGGTAGGTTGAAAATATATTTATTTAAGGTAATTATTGTTATTTTTTAAGGTAGGAAAATATAAAATCTTTATTAAAACAGTATTGTAGGTTTAAACTCTAAGCATATAATATGAATCTTTAATCCTTAGTAATTTGTCATCTTTGGACATTGAACAATTAAATAATATGAAAATAATTAAATAAAGTGAGTTCACGACTAATCCACCGTGTGTACGTTAAACGTAATAGCTAAATAATTTAATAGAATAAAATATAACGAATATAATCTTAATAATAAGCATAAAATGAATAATAACTGGACATCTTCATATTGCTATTGGTGGATAATGAGAATCTACGTCTCCTTGTCGTTGTCTCGTTCCGGCAACTTCTCGGTGCCTGTGGTGGTTTCTTCGCTTGTTGTTGCGATATAGCATTTCTTCATAGCTACCGTGGTCGTTTGTCCCATTGGTTGTTGTGGTTCGACCTATAATTAATTCAGCCTTTCTATTAGTTATCTGGCTGTTAAGAAAATTAGCGGACGGTTGCAAGGGTCTTGCAACCTCTCTCACCTTACCGCTGCGCATCTCCCCTTTCCTTTTGTTAGGAGTACGCTGCATACTCGTCATATCTGGCACTAAGTTCCGCTTTGACTTCGCGAAAGTTAACACAATTGACCTTAAAAGAATTTATCCGCTTTAGGCCAATGGCTTGCTCACCGTTTATTAACCTTTGTTTACGCGCACTCGCGCTTCTATTATTTAACTCGGTCGTCTCTTTAACCTTGTTATTGTTTTGTGACCTTGCCTCGAGGTAAGGTATCGCGTTGTTTTTCGTGCACTCGTACGACACTTCGTTTGTTTTGCGCGCGCGCGACCCAAATTCCTCGGATAGCTGTGACCTGTTTTTCCGCGCACTCGCGACCTTGATTTTCAGAACATCTGCTTGTTTGTCTCGCTTGCTCGCGATTTTGTTTACTCAAATTCTCTGAAGTTGTCAGGTCTGAGAAAAAGAAGCAACAGAATGCTCCATCAAGAGCTATAGCGGGCAGATCGACTGGGGCTACTGTGGGTAGCAAGAAGCGATCCAGGAATAATAACACGCTAATGGTTACTACTATAACAAAAGAATTGACCTCTGCTGAAGAGTTTAAGAAAGCTCTTCTCAAAACAATAGATCCTGTTAAGAATCAGATTAGGGTCAAAAACATTAGGTTGGCTAGTGAAGGTAGGGTCTTCGTTGAAACGCTTGCAAGTACTGATCTGCAGAAGATCACTGATTGTCGGAGTCTAGGTCATACAGGCTTATCGGTGACTAGGCTTCCAGCTAGGAAGCCTAGGTTTATCATATATGATGTTCCAGGCTATATGCATGGGGAGGACCTCAAGGAGGCAATCCTCAAACAGAATGCAGAGATTTTCCAAGAAACTAACTGGGATTCCTTCAGAGAGTCATGTAATCCCAGAATTAATGTAGGGAAAAAGAATCAGGATATAAGGAATTGGGTGGTAGAGACATCCCCTGAGATTGGCAATAAATTGAGAAAGGCCAAGAGAATATACGTGGGATGGGCTAGATGTAGGGTCTCGGATTTCATATCCTTAACGAGGTGCTACAGGTGTTTAGATCTGGGGCACATTGCGAAACATTGTAAAGCAGATAACGAAACCTGCTCGCACTGTGGCAAAGTTGATCACCGAAGGGATGATTGCCCTGATTCTGATAGGCCAGGGTCCTGTGGATTGTGATCGAGGAGGAGGAGGCCTCATGCCCATGGCATATTCGATAAGAACTGTCCCTCATACAAGGTGGCACCGGCTAGATATGAGCAAACTATTGATCATGGACAGGAATACTGCTGAACTGACAATCTTTCAGCACAATTTAGGGAAAGGAAGGGTAGCATCGGCTGAGCTGAGGGAAATGGCTGCGTCTAAGCGAGCCTCCATCCTCCTTGTACAGGAGGCCTGTGTCGTGAAAGGGGCTGTTTGTAGCCTCGGAATGACATCGAACCGGGTTCTTGCGGAGTCTCGCCAGGATGAGACAATTAGGGCATGTATTGTGGTGCTAGAGGCATCGTTCGATGTGTTGGTGCTGAGACACTTGAGTACACCAATGTGTGTATGCGCACAGATCTCCAGCTGGTTTGGGGAGCTTTTCGTGGTGTCAGTGTACTGCTGACCTTCGTCCGAAATTGGTCCCCAAGTGGAGCAACTTATGCGTATCAAAGAAGAGCTTCGGGGGAAGAGAGTGATTATAGGAATGGAGGCTAACGCATGCTCCCCTCTGTGGCAGAGTGGATCTTCTGATATAAAAGGTCTAAAGCTAGAAGGCTTTCTGGCATTGTCTAGGTGGTTTGTCGTTAATGAGGAGGGTTTTAACCATACCTTTACATCCACCAATGGAGTCAGTAACATTGACGTAACTCTTTCTAGTCCTAGTCTCTATCCATTGATAGGGAACTGGAAAGTCGAAGTGAGGTGGACTAACAGTGACCATAGGGTTTTGGTCACTATGCTAAAAAGTGCTGAGTGCAGTTGCGTAATTCGGGAGGCAAGATTTAACATCACGAGAGCAAACTGGAAGGCTTTTCGAGAAAAGTTCAATGCTGAGGCCGGTAATTTAGAATGGTCGGTCTCTGATAAGAAACATGCAGAAGTCAGAGCCTGTCAAATCACTGAGGCAATACGAAGTGCGGGTAAAGCTGCAATCCCCAGAAAAAATAAGTTTGGTAGGTCTGTTCCCTGGTGTAATGAGGGTCTTACCAGGCTGAAAGGCGGGGTTAATGGAGCAAGGAGGAGATTCCAGAGAGAAAAGGAAGATGCTGCGAGATTTAATCTGAAGCATAACTATATGCGTCTCAGAAAAACTTACACTGCCGAGGTTACCCGAGCTAAGAACCAAAGCTGGAAAGACTTTGTCTCTAAATAAGGTAATAAGGAAGCATACAGTCTAGTGTATAAGATTATGACGAAGCGAATTATAGCAGATGAGGTTTTAAGCTGTATCAATGATGGCACACACTTCACAGGAGACTGGTGTGAAACCGCGAGAG